GTCCAAGCCATCTACCAACGCCTTTGGGACTTGCCCTTAGGCTCCCAGTGCCCAGATAATGTCCGGTCTTCCTCAATCCAGATGACATCAAGCCGCACTTCCCATGACTGGCCACCGGGCACGATCCATCCATGGCCATCTCTGCAGTTAATCTACTCGCACCGGTGGGAAGGGGGAAAAGGGGCCGCTTTGCTTCGCAGCTGACCCTTTCATCCTCCCTTATCCGATGCCACAAGGGTTTTGGGAAGCACCCCCAAATTCTCACGCAATCACAAGGTTTTGTGCTCCGAGCGCGACTCCCTTGAAGGAACTGCTCAGGTTGGCGGTTGCTGCTTTGGCGAGGGGAGCCGGGCACGACCCACGTCGCCCACCCGTGCTTCGGCGGCCCGCGGCCCGTGTCCTACAGCAGCCGAAAGGAAGGCTTAATTCGAGACTGGTGTCCGTGTTTACACTCTGCACCTCTGGTGTCCCAGATCAAACTTTACTTCCAAGTAGCACTTTAACGAGCCAGAGAAGGCTGGAGAACATCTGGAACTTCTGGGGCAAACTTGGGACGACGGAAGGACTCCAAATGATTGCTCCTGAGCCCTCTTGAACTGAATGAGCCAAACCAAGAAAGAATTAAATCCTCCTGCTGTGGGCTTAAATCACCGTTGGCATCCCTTCTGAATTGACCCGGGCTGTATCGTGTCCGAAAGGGTTGTCGTTTCTTCCCCACCCTCCTCTCGAGGTTTCCGTCTTCAATCTTGACCACTGAATTCACACGGGGCCTTGAACTCTTGCACAAACCGGCCCTGCTCGTTCCAGGAAGCTTCCGAGGCGCGTAACACACGTCCGTTCATGCACACCCACTGTATGTTTTTATCTGTGTAGTTATTTCCACTGTCACCCTCACCTTAAATAAATCGGACCGAACTTTCACACTCCGCAACGTCGATTTTTGCTCCCAGGAGCGACGCACATCTTTGCAACGCAGCTTTTCAGAAACAGAGCCGGGACGCCGGTGTGCGAAACGAGCACCACAAATCTCTCTGAGTCGCCTTTGGATCCAGGCTTGGCGGCTTCCCTCCCTCTAGCTAGTGCCTGGCAGCCTAGTTGGGAAGGAGGTGGGTAAGTGTGGATGAGCACGCGTGTGTGTGCATGAGAAAGAGCAAGTGCACCTTGCAACCAGTAAAGTTTTGCTGTTCCTTTAAGTTCACGGGGTCTCCGTGTATTC